AAGGCATTTTCAGGTCACCAACATGTTACGATTAACTTCCATGAACTGAAGATACGGCAAGAAAAAGTTTAAGTTCTGAGACAAAAACATCGACAACTGTCAGACCGGAGAACTCGGTGGTAGCGACCTGTCAATCACAAGGTAGCCCCGCCCTAAAGCATACTGCGCTTTATGGTCTACTTTAATCTAAATGAACATCATGCTGTATTGAAGAAGACTTGAAACTAGAGATTGAGACCATGAACTACCTTTTGAATGTTAATATGAACATAACTTTCAGATGACACTGCTATCTGTTTTGGGGAGCTCTCATAGATAGCCTCATATTTCATTCTTAGCTAAAGGAAAATAGGAGAAACTTGAAATCATTTTCCAGGATATTTTACCGTTTCTCTAATTGTCCATGTATTTTCCAGGTTTTCCTGGCTGAACTGAGCAGAGTTGAATCACAGGTCAACAACTAAAGCACACTGTGAACTGCCCAGGCACGGTAGATCAGCTTGGAGGTATTTGACAGACCCCCTGCTGGGGTCTATCCGGTCCCTAAAGTGTCACGGCACTGCCAGAGACGAGTGTTGGTTAAGTGCCTGGAAGCATTCAGCAGCCTTGCTGGATCTCAAACCCCTTTGATTCCTTTCTTCTGTATCTACCATACACTGTCTTTTCATGGTTTATTTCCCCCTCCTGTCTCATGATAAAAAAAAAAATATTGAGGGATATTAGGAAAGAATGACTGCTCTAGTTTTAAAAAAGAAAAGAAGCCGCTATGTAATTACTGATTGTTTGTGTCTAAAGAAAGGATTCTTCCATCTGGTACACAAAAGCATCAACAGTTACAGCTGGAGGAAATTCAAGGCAGCAAACGTCTGTTTAAATGTAGTCTCGTAAAAAAATAATGTACTTCCAAGTTTTCAAATCAGCCCTGTAACCGTTTCTTCACAGATGCAAACAGTGCTCGTGGTTGTGTTTGATGTCATCGTGAAATGTAATGTAAAAAATAAGCTGCGAACTGGAGCCACTCTTATCACCATTTCTGCTAATTGCAGTCAACAAACATCCCTCATTTGCAAATTTAGGATTCAATTTGCTCTACATATTTAGCAGAATCAGACATCATGTGCAGTCCCACGGCCGTGTGCTCCGCCTGCCTGCTGCGTAAAATGTCTGCTGAGCTCTGTGCAAAATAAATCCTTCTGCTGTTGGGTCAGACCACGATGAATCCCTGTTTAATCTTCTTCAATATGATATGTTTCTGTTTTTAATGTGGTCTTTATCTGGTTCCTGGATCCATTTCAAAACAGCAAGACTTTGTGTTGGGTAATCACACTTTATGATAATCATTGGGATGATTCCACTCCGGCTGTTTGTTAGAATCCAGACAAACAGCCATGATGAATGATAGCGATGCCGTCACTGATACACTGATTCTTATTTCACTTTATTAAGAATTATTCTTTCTTTTTTTTTATGAGCTCGGAAAATCATTCGGAAAACATATGAACTCATTACTGAGCAATTAAGAACAAGTGAATTGTAATTAACTTGAGGAGCCGTTGCTGTTTATTATCAGGCTCCCAGCAGCTCATGATTGGCACTGATGGGCGCACACCTCTCAGTGACGCTCAGTCATTTACCATTAAATGGAGAAGCCTTGGCGGTATGTGGCATCATATATCTGATCACCCAAGTCTCCTCACACTGCAATGCAGTAAATTGCTGTAATACACCACAAAAGGCTTGTTGATTAAAAATAAAGTGCACGCTGTCGCTGAGCAACATTATGGGAAGAAAACAGTGGAAGCGGAAAAGCTTTCAAAATATATCCGGTGAGGCACCACCACAACCTTTTTTTTTCTTCTTCTTCTTCTTCTTTTTTAGGTTAAGAACAAGTCGACGCTAGAAATCAAATACTACAAAACTCAGAATATCCTCCACTTCACCTCTGCAATATGCAGTTTTACACATTCCCTCTGAAGCCCTGCTTGCGGTTTGAAGTGCTGACACCTGAAGTAGGCCGACGTGTCCTCGCCGCTCGCCAGGCTCTTATCGGGGACACGCAGGCGGCTTCCTCACACAGCTGCACACTGGACCAGAGCTGCCACTTCTAACCTGCCTCCTCAGACCGGCGCCCAGGTGTTTTCATATGCCTCGCGGTGATTCAAAATGAATTAGTCCTCTCTGTGTACGACACGGACTGCATTGGTTCCGTGAGTCGCGGTGACGCGGGAGAGGATTCTGAGATTAGGGGAGACAGACATCTGGTGTATAACAAGCATGTCGACAGCACATTTCCTTCTTTCGGTTAGACTATTTGGCAGGTCAAATCTCAATGTTTTGAGTCATCATGTGATGCAAACTAACTGCAAGAAATAATCCAACATTTTAGGGCTTTAAGGGGAAAATTATCGGCACCTGAAAGCTTGAAAATCAGAGTTTCAGATCAGAGAGAACAAACTGCAGCGACGGCCTCCTTGAGATGCAACTGGAGCTCTGAAAAATGGCCGGCTTTCCTGCCAAAGTGCTGCAGCGAGTTGAAAAAACCTGCCGGTACATGGCTGGTGGTTAAGTATTCTGATCCCAAACCCTTGTATCAGCAGCAGCAGATCTGCCTTATAAACACCAACTTCATGTGGTTTCTTACAGGACATCCACCATTTAATTATTGTGACACTCAGAGGAAATCACAGTCTACATGGCTCTTAAAACATTAAAAAAAATAGTGTGAATGCACGTTATTAAAAAAGTATTTTCTCTTGAGTAGCAAATCCGTATTTAGGGGGATATTCAGGGCCACTGCTGATCCTGATTTCTGTCATTTAGCACCGGCTTTATGTCTTGTCGACGATGCCAAGTAGGTCATTGTCAAAGCCAACCTGTGTCACATCGCTATTTATTTTTAGCACATTTTCTAATGTGGCTGCCAGATGGATTCAGCACACAGCTCAGTCCAACGAGTCAAAGAACCGAGTTAAACAATCACAGGAAACTTGGACAAAAACCGACCGTTTTGTCCTGAATCATTGAAACAGAACTCTCTGGTACTCAAAACAAACACTAATTGATTTTTTGCAAAGACAAACTTTAACCCAGGGCAGTTTTCAGCACAGTCGGTGCAAAAGCATGACAGGTCATTATTTCTATTAGCCATTTTCAAAGTGTACTTTTCCCTTCAGCTTGCCAGATTATGCATTGTTCAAAGTGTTTTCCTGTGCAATCATACGGCGATTAAACGGATTAAAATAAGTCTATTATCCCTATAATGTGATGTTTGCTCACAGGCACCAATGACCACGTCGTTGCTTGTTTGTTGTCGGGAGGATTCAGCGCCTGAGTGCTGCTGAGTCATACGTTCACACATGGCAGCACACTGCCATCCTCCGGCTCAAGCAAAGCACATCCACACGCTGCCAGTGACCGAGGACAAGCACTGTGTTCTGGGCATTTAAGTGAGCGGAGATGTTGAGCCTGTTCTTTGATATTTGCTATTATATTTATTTTGGGTTCATTTTAAAGGAACTTATGTTAAAATACAAGATTTCACAAGAAGTAAGTGATATATGATTTCAATCAAGGCTACAATAAGGACTTTTGGATAGAGTTTTTTTTATTTTGCAGTGTTCTTAGTTATTATCTGAGTGTGTAAAGTTAAACTCGTTAAAATAATCATGAATAAAATGTTTCTAGCACCTTTAAATGCATTCAGTATTGTAGAAGACTGTGATTGATCAATACACTTTATACTCATATACTTTAACAGAACAGGTAAATCTGTTTAAAGTATATCTTAACAGAATAATGAGATCAATTGTAGCTGATTAGGAGCGACTGCTGGTGATTGTGGGGAAACTATCAAACCAGGAAGTTCTGTGACTTGTTTCTGTCAGCTGACGACTGTTTCCAGTCACAGCAGCCCAACATCAGGAGGCTGTCTGGTTCAGTCTATTTGGGGGGAAAAAGTTTCCAAATGCTGGCTGTGATACCAGTCTAATATTTTATTATAATATTTTAATAGTAAACTAAATATTATGGAGATCAGCATCTACATTTGATCTCATTATACAAGTAAATAGTCTTATCTTGGCTGCAGTTTCAATTTTAAGTTATTAATTATGGATTTTGCCACTAGTGCTGATGAGCAATCATATATGAATATTCCTACAGTGTACTGTTTAAATAGACTTGAAGTATGTTTGTATTCAATGGCACCATTTCTCAGCCTTGGCATCAGGACACCACATGAGTTTGGTTCATGTGTAGGCCGTCAAACAGCAACACGAGTTCCTACTGTTTGTAATAAAATGTCACATTTTCCTGTTTAGTTTTAATGATAGTGATCTCTATTAAGGTTGACTGGTGTCCCTAAAGGCACATGACTGTAAACCGTTGTGTGCCTCAGTGGGCTGGTGATGCATAACATTTACAGGGACGTAGGTGCATTTTATGGTTATTTGTGTATTCAATAGGATCACCACAACGCATAACTCTCCGAGTAAATTGTGATTATACAGTGGCCTTCCCATACGATGCATGTATAATAATGCATCAGTAATAATAATAATAATAATAAGATATTACATATACCTGTATAACAATCAGTGGTAGAATGTAAAAAGTGCATTTACTGAAATACTGGAGCACAAATTTGAGGTATTATTAAATATTAAAATGCTGATTAAATGACAATGCATCAGTTACATAAATTCAATGATATAATATAACGATAAATACTTGTATATTAATAGTATACTCCGAAGCAGGTCACTATGTGCTGCTTTGACTGTACTTTAATTATATTATTTTAAGTTGTATAGTATAAAGAATATTACTGCAGGACTTTAACTTGTAACAGAGTATTTTTACAGGGTGGTATTTGTACTTTTACTGAAGTAAAGTAATCTGAATACATCCACCACTGTTAGGTCCCACCGCTACATCTCTCCCCCAACATGAGGCTGTCCAATAGGGGAGAGGAGGGAGGAGCTCCCGTCGGCGTCATTCCGCCATTGGTGTGTCGAGCCACAACAACACAGCGAGAAGACGACGAATGTCAAACAAGTAAAACACGGGTAAGCACGTTAAAACAAATATAATATAATCAATACAATATGTAGCCTGCGCTAGTTTACTGCCCGTTGCATGTTTCAACGACTATGGTAACGTAACTATGGGAAGTGCGGATTGTCCCGCAGAGCCGCCGTTGATTTTGTACAATATGTTGACTAAATGTCAGAAATACGCGACGGCGCGGAACACCGTTTTGGTGATGAAATACTCATTTAATTAAAGGCCAAATATCGCGTTTGGTGTTGAAATACAAATTTAAAGGCCAAATATCGCGTTTGGTGGTGAGACTGGAGGCGGTAAAGCGGGTTTCCTTCCACCGGTACGTTGTGTTCCCGGCTGAGGCTCAACGGCTCAGATGCATGGCGGCCTGTGATGACAGCCAGGCTGGAGACAGCGAAGTTGTGTAAACACACCGTCCTGCTGGGTGACTGGGGTGCATGTCAGGGTTGCCCAGTGTTACATAATACATGTACAAAAACACATACAAACGTAATTAAATCAGCGTTAACAGTCAACATGTTGGTATTACAAAGGTGTTACATTCCAATATTCGTTGAAAAGCTTATAATTTAGAATATGACATTCATTCTGTTGCTCCGTTTCAGTCTTAGTTCAAGTTATATTGAATGTTTTTTTAATCAGAGTTTGATAGTATTCAATGTTGAGTACTGGTTTAAGGACTGTTCAGCTTTATTGTCCAGTTTAAAACATTTGTTAGAAAAGTAATCAAGTAATATTCGTCTACTTGGATGAAGTTATTAAAATACGTACGATATGTAGTACAGTTTAACAGGATACAAGTATTGTGTATTACATTTGTAAAGTATTCCCAACAATGGGATTGACCAACTTTATAATAACAGTGGTGGATTGTAACTAAATACATTTATTCAAGTACTGTACTTAAATACAACTTTGAGGTACTTGTACTTTCATTTTACAGTGATGGAGGAAGTATTTGGATCGTTTACCTAAATAAAAGTATCATTACTACATTGTGGAAATACTCAATTAGAAGTCCTGCAATCAAAATCGTACTCCAAGTAAAAGTACAAGTATCAAAGTATACTTTAAGTACCGAAAGTAAATGTATATGCTAAATGGCCCATTTAAAATTCATAAATAAACTATTACTGAAATATGATTAATGATGCATGATGTATTGTGTATATCCCGTTGCAGCTGGCAGAAGTGAAGCTGCTTTTTTTATTTATATTTATACTAATAATCTGCAAAGTGACGTGTGGGTGTAGTGGAGTAAAAGGTCAAATATAGCAGAAGTATAAAGTAGAATAAAATGTGTATACTCAAGTAAAGCACAACACTTGTACCTCTGTACCTTTTACTCAACTACATTCATTTCACAGCTTTAGTTACTTTGTAGATTACAGATCTAACAAATATGATGCTTATTTAACTACCATACAGTTTTAACCTCACTGTGACCAGCTACAATATTAAAACGCTGATCAAATGATATTTATCAGTAATAATAATTCAATAACACAATACATACGCCTGTATAATAATCAACAGTGGAATAACTGAGCACACATTTCATGTGACGTATGATGAACATATGAATCATCATGTGTGTTGTCCCTAAATTATATTAAACTACCCAACAGTATCTTATTAATAGAAACAGGTTGACTGTATAATAGTAAAAGACTTTTAAGCTACTGTAAATATTGAACATTAGGTCCGTTCTCATTAACATAAACCCTATTCTACTTGTCACATTTTGACAAAGTAATTAGCTGATTTAAATGAAAGTGATCTGAATATAGGCATACAGGAACGCTTCTTAAAACCTTGTACTTTTAGGCGTATTATTTATGAATACAATAGTGATGCCAGAGGTGTGAGCATCCGCACTACACAACAAACTGTGATTAAGCCGTGGTCACAGTCTGCTCTCTATTGAGCAGCACACTCCCGAGTCCCAGCAGAATTGTTTCTGAGGTATTACAACAGATTTTCCTTCATGCACCAGCTGAAGTTTGTTGGCCTGGAAAATGTTCCCCATTCAAACAGCCGTGTGGCATGTGGTTAGTCAGCACGTCCCGCTGTACCTATAGAGAGTTCCTCTGTGCTCACGCTGTCCTTTTGTGTGCCGTGTGCAGACAGACAGCTGCAGCTATGGGCAAGCTCCATTCCCACTTGGCCAACCCCAAAGATGAGAGTCAGGACTCGCTGACGGCCTCCGGGGAGTACAGAGACGGCGAGGAGGACGGAAAGAATGGAGACGTGTCTCAGTTCCCCTACGTGGAGTTCACCGGACGGGACAGCGTCACCTGCCCGACGTGTCAGGGCACCGGCAGGATACCACGAGGTAAAAAACCATCCACAGGTGTTACTTCTGTCTAAATTAACGGTTAAAAACGTCTGCTTCGACAGGACTGTGGGTTACAGTTGATCGCATTTGATACGATACAAGCAAACAACCAGCCAGCCAGCTGTCATCACATCATAATCAAATGTTGATGCATGGAAAGATGTGGCATGATCATTTCCTTCCACGGGACAAAAACACACAATACTAAAAAGTCTCGTGAAATGACCAAAACTGTAACTGTGGCAGAAAAGGTTGTGTTGTTGAGGGTTTGTGTGTTCTCAGAATCTTAATATCTTCAAACTGAAGCATGAATAACATTGATGTATTCTCCCTCAATACACAGGAGATCCTGTCACATGATATTATTAAATTACAAGAAAGATACCAACCAGGCGAGTGTGTGATTATTTAGACTAAACAGCAAACAGGTCAAACGGTCTTTAAGTCTCTAAGTCCAGCTGTCTGTGGACACAGTGCTCTGCTTGCTCTCAGATTGTATTTCACAAGAGTTCACAAGAGTCGAGGCTTGAGTTTTCCCAGGATTTTGTTGTGGCACAAAGTGCAACCACGTAGTCATGGCCGGGCCTGTGACTCTCAGCCCCACTAGAAGTTAAGTTAAGAAGTTAAAAAGCATTTAGCAGTGAGGCTGTCCATACGTAGCTACATGAAACAAGTTTATATGAACCAGATCTAGAGTTCATATTGTATTTCCAAATATAAAACTCCAAAAGTCTGAATATAAATACAAGTTTCTGGCCTTTATGTCTACAACAAAATTCATGTAGCAAATACATAATAACGTACAAGAAAAAACAAGAGCAATACTAAATAAACAGGCCATAATGCCTCCATGTCCAGGCTTTAAAGACACAGTTATTCTCCCCTTTCCATTTTTAATCTCTACTCCAGAACACTTCAGGGTTTTGTGAAGATGTTTCATGTCAGATTGACGCTGTTAAATTCGTTTTATAGAGCTCGACACACTCACCACTTTTATAGACAATAATCTGGAGCCTGTTTTCCCATCAGTTTGTGTCTGAGATCGCGGCCGATTAACAGGCTGTAATGTAAATGCTCGGGGCATTCACCTCCCCGTCAATGTATGTGCAGTAAAAGCACTTGTTTTTGCCACCGACCTGCTCAGATTATTATTGTAAGTGTCTGACAACAGCGTGGAAATAACCCTACGGAGGAATAAAACATTCTCTGTTTGTCATCGTGTGTCTCGCTCTGAGAAGTCAGGCTCTGAAATCTCACGTTTCGATTCAGCCATGACATTAAAACTAATTCAGTTAACGCTAAGCTACGCTTTACTGATGCAATAACAAACAGAAAGTTGTATTTCTCGGTAGGCTCCTTTACAAAATGTTGTCAGACACTTAAAATACAAAAACAAGCTCTTTCAGTCGACTTAATTGACCGTGAGGAGTTTCATCGAGCAATTAGTCACCAAATGTCCCCGTTAATCACAAAAACATGGGAAAATAGGGTCCAGGGTGAGTTACCCTTTAAGAATAAACCAACCACCAATAAAATATATCTTTAACTTGAAGTGGGAAACAGAGAGACTCTTCTCAGGAGGTGTACAGTATTGTATGTAGCCCACACACACTGTTCTCCATGAAACAGCAGAATGACACTGCTACACACTCTGTTCTCCATCAAACAGCAGAATGACACAGCTTTCCTTTCCTTCCTTTGAATAATTCAACAGGTCAAGAGAATCAGCTCGTGGCTCTGATTCCATACAGCGACCAAAGGCTCCGGCCGAGCAGGACGTGAGTCGGCCTCTTTTCTAAAGATGAATGGTGTTCTCCATCTGCATGATGAAACTCCGTGATAGACTGTGAAGTCCTCAGCTGGTTTCAGGGTCTCACTTCTCTTTTCCGTGTCACGCAGAAAGCTGTATGTCACGATATCAGTGGCCCTCTGCCTGCTGCTGTCCGGCCTGGCTGTGTTCTTCCTATTCCCTCGCTCTATTGATGTCTCCTATGTGGGAGTGAAGTCCGCCTACGTCTCCTACGACCTGGACAAACGAATTGTCTATCTCAACGTCACGGTGAGATTGTGTCGGCGCAATCCCCCGACTCATAATGAAACCCTGGACGGTGTAATAAGTCTGCTTGTGTTTAGGTTGAAGTCTTAAAGTATTTATAATCAATGTTTTTATAGGAACAAAGACTTCTTGTATGGGGCAGGAGTCATCACTATAGAATTATCGTGTCTTTCGGCTCATTGTGTTCGTTTTATTGGGCCACAGTTTCACTGTTTTGGTTCGCTCTCCGTGCTCTCGTTAGGGCTGTTTTTGGCTGCAGCAGGAAGCTGTTTTGAGGGGAAAAAAAGCTTTCAAAATGTTCTGCATGTTACCGGTAAAACACCAAATGGCAGACAGACAAAGTTAGCAATTAGCTAGTAAATACTGTGGAGAATTTAGCAGCTAAAGAGACAAAGACTTCCCTCAGGAAAAACAGACCGAACCAGAAAGGTGCACCGAGTACAGTGCAGACCAACCACTGCTGCATTGTGTTACTGCAGGTTTAACATGCTATAGTTAACATTGGGGCTTTTTTGTTCTACATGAAGCCCTCTATTGCCACAATCTGACGGCTTTGATCTTCCTCCACCCAGAGCACTCTGAACATCACCAACAATAACTACTACACCGTCTCTGTGACCAACATCACAGCCCAGGTGCAGTTCTCCAAGACGGTGATCGGCAAGGCCAAGTTCAACAACAGCTCCGTCATCGTACCGCTGGATGAGCGACAGGTGGGTTACAATACATTTACTGATCGCACACAACACTCACAAGGACTCTGCACTGGTGATAAGAGAATCTATTATTAAAAGGTGACAGAAAATGGATTCTGATGCACTTCAGTTATGAATGCAGCGTGCACAACGGACTTCCAACAAGAGGTTTAAGAGCCATCAAAGCCTGAAGCGTCTTTAAATTCTTGTGAATACAGCTGCTCACTCTTGGACCACTAATTAAACAGAAAAACATACTTAATTATGTTAACTTTTGCTTTAATTAGCATAAATGTGCTCTGCTGCTTTTCTCCTCAGTCGCTTTATGAATTGTGTTTCACTACAGATCGACTACACTGTTCCCACCACCATTGCTGATGAGATGAGTTATATGTTGTAAGTATCTTTCTAGAAGTCATAAACATATCCCGTTTACACTTTTGAGCATTTGAATCATGAATCGCTTCCCGTCTACAGTGACTACTGCACCTTGCCGACCATTAAAGTTCACAACATAGTGGTCATGATGCAGTGAGTACAGCCAATTTCTTTCTTTTATCCTCATGTTTGACTTTGAATTTAATCATGCTGTGTGTGATGTACTGTCATTATTTATCTTGATTTGTATCCTTTCATACATCAGCATCAATCTCCACAACTCTGTCCTCCACACTCGCATAGTTTCACCCACTCATACTGAAGAGAAGCCCAGCAACAAGAAAGTTTAACAACTTTAGCAAATCAAACAAGAAGCAGCTGATACTGTAACGCCTGCTCTTGTAATGAAGTGGTTTTATATCTCGACCATAATGCCGCTAACGCACATTAAAGGATTCAGAAGTGACGGTCTCACCTTGTTATCCGATGAACTGCTGACTCGGGGGTTTGGTTCTTTTTCAGGGTGACGGTGACCACGTCGTACTTCGGCCACACGGAGCAGGTCTCCCAGGAGATGTACCAGTATGTGGACTGTGGGGGGAACACCACCTCCCTGCATGGCCGTGTGCAGGTCTACCAGTAAAGAAAGAGGCAAAAGAGCGAATGCGTCAAACTCTGCTGTGACTGAGGTTCTCACGGAGAACACTGGGCCGACTTCCAGAGAGGAAACCTTTGCTCGCTCACAATGGAACGACATAACATTTCATAACTAGTCGGTGGCTCATTCATTCTTAAATTCCAAACCGGGTCTAATGTGATGTCAGATTGACAGACTGGTCAAAGCAGAGAGAATTTAGCAGGATCTGCCGTGAGGTTTATTGTCATTTTTCCACCCTGGTGCCAACAAAACAGACATAAATCATGTAATATTCACATTGATAGACACTCCCATCATGTTTACATTGTCACTCGTTAACAGTTAAATTATTGGAAGCAGTGGCTTCACATATGATGCACTTTAACATGGTCAATAACCACAGATATTAATAAGAGTGTTGAGTTCTCCCTGCTATTCTATACCACTTTTAATAAAAAAATACAACAGCTAACGTTCAAGAGTAAACCCACCTCTTCCTGCTCTTTTTATTCTGTTTCATCAAAATATGATTCTTGATATTCGTGCAGTATAGATGATGTTTTATCTTATGTCATTTCTTTCTTTTCATTTGGAGTATAGGTAGTGCGAGTCTTTTCCTTTGTTTAGCTGGCTGTCATTCGGCGGAGTGATTTAAAAGCAGACGTGACTACTATGAAGACTGCAACATGTTACGAGGAGGTTACAAAATACATATTTTGAAAAGGGATAACTTTTTATTCTACTGTGGGAGCATTACCGTGAGCTATGAGATACAGAAATGTGTAAATGTAAAATGTGTACTTTCTGGCTTTCTTCCCTTTAGATTCAGGTTATTCTATTATTGTGTGTGCTATGGTGTCATTTTGCAATGAGGCGTTTGCTATTTTAACCCACTCTGCATCTATAGCTTGTATCATGAGTTGACTTAAAAATAACTATGACTTCCTTTTGTGACTTATCGTTTTGATTTGGCATTTTCAAACAGATCACTTGATGTACTGAACGCCCGAAACACCGAAATGTCCAAAAGTTGAATTATTTTAAAGTTTCAGATCTTAGTTCAGTTGTGACCGAACAGGTACAATATCACCTTGTTACATTAAGTGTGGTTTTTTCTGACTTAATTTAATTTCTTACGTCATCATAAGAAAACTGAAATCCTAGATCCAACCCTTCTTGATATTTGATGACGGGCGGTGTAGATGTGAACACCTCTCTGTTGCTGTTATGCCTGATTTAAATATAATCATGTCTCATTTCTAAAGGTTCATTCTTGTAATATTCTCTGTAGACACTGGGTGGCGCCGAGTGGTCTGCTTAACTAGAGTATCACTCACCTTGCTGTTACTTCACTGTTATTGAATTTAATACTTTCAATTATGAAAAATTAATCTGTAAAAATATTAGAAAAAAAAGAGTTTTAGGATAATAGAAGACAAAAATAACAGTAAATATTCACATTTGAGAAGTTGAAGCAAGTGAACTTTAGGCAAAAATAAATATTTTTACAGTTAATCTATCAAAATAGTTGGTGATGTATTTTCTTGCTAATTGTTTCAGTTAAATGTATTGTCTCCACATGCAGCAAAATGCATTGGTAGTCATGATTCAGTAAAAGAGGAAGCAGTAATGGGGCTAAAATGCAAAGAAAAACCGAAACTCTATACATTAGTTTAAATTATTTGGGAGCATACATATGATAATCAAACTTCATACCAATCTAATCATTACATTTTTATATTTATCGAGAACAAATTTAATATTTTTCAATCACTTAAATGAGAGTAAGTATCCTTGATGAGTGGACAGACCAGCTGAATGACCAACAACAACGTCCATTGGCGCCACCACGAGAGGGCGCTCTTACAGACACAAACATTGTATGTTAATATGTTACTCACTTCACGCTGTATACTCCTTAATGGAGCTAGAGGTACAAGATGTCCCCAGAGTTCACATCTGCTGCAAACATCAGCTCACTTCCTCTCTGAGATCCAGGTCATTGGGTTTGGACCAGAGCTTTACTGGGAGACACACAACACACACACTACCAGTAAGCATTGCCAGTTTCCTCTTTGTCCTGAGCCAGTATGTTAGTGGGTCAATAAAGGACATATTGACATCAGCTTTATTATTATTATTATTATTATTATCTTTTACTGTCACTGCCCTCTTTCACAATATATTTAATGTTCAATTGCAACATATTCTGCCTCAGTACATATATTTTGTCACAACTCCAAATTCAAAAGATGCTTGACCAACATGTTATTAATTTATTTTAAACAAAATATTGGCTGATATAATATTAACAGTACCTAAATTGATGTATATCATTGTTTGATCCAGGGCTGCCCCCTCTTAAGTCGAGTTAGTCGTTTTGGTCTTAGATGACTGAGATTTCTTTAGTCCAATAGTACGTTTTTAATGCTTTTTCATGCTGAATGACTTCATTCCAGGATCCACAAAATTTAAACGCAGTTTTAAAGCTCCGTTGATTGAATCAACTAATCGGTTAGTGGACTCAGATTTTCTTTGGTCAAGAACAGCTCTTGCGTTGTAATGAATTCAATAATTAAGCTAGGTGGTGTTCTGATTCACCACCAAGTCTTAAACTCACAATGTGTCTGGATCTAAACAAAGCTGGACGACCTCAGGCTGAGCTGTCTGAAGGTGCAGCCAACATACAGAACTTTGTATCAACGACCGTTGTAGGTTATGAAGGCTACTGGCTTAATATGGCCAAAGTCATTTTTCAAGCAAAAGCAGGATTTTCATATGGAAATCTACTTTCCTATTAGCGCTCGGTCGGTAGGTTTCACTGTGACGGCCACATCCGCTATTGATCTGGTTGTGTTAGAGCCATTACAGCAGACCTTCCCCCTTACTTCATGTGGACCCAGCACTTCATCTCACCAGGTAAAAGGAAATAGTTTCCCCACACGTCTTCTACATGAACACACATGGGTCTTGCTATCTAAAAAAATAATAACCTATAGTTGGCTCCACACTGAACCTTTTTTCTTGTGAAGAATGAAAACTAGTACTGGAGTGTGTCCAGTGGAGGAGAATAACATTGTGACTATTCGTGTTCTATTTCTCACTTTTCATTAGTGTTATTTGGTCATGCAGTAGTTTTATTTTTTTTCATTCGAGATTTCTGCCATCATTCCAATAAGTGAATTAAATTGTGTTTATGGAGTGCACATGATTGAAAACTTAATTGAGAGTCTCTCTAGAAACAGTGTCCCTGTTTCTCTGGATAACAAACAAAACAAGTCATCCATAGTTTTTATAGGAATAAGCGTTTACCAAAAAAAGAGAGCATTTTTTTTAGGTTTAATTTTTTGTTGCTTGTCTATGAGGACAGATACCTTCAGAGATGGTTTGTAATGCTTGAAGTAAGTGAAACATGTTGCATTGGAATCCAGACACTGGGAGTGTGTTGTTTACATATTTATTTATTAATACTAACAGTAACTATCTGTACATAATAGGTTTATGTTCAATCTTTATTTCACTGTATGACCATATGTGAATACTGAAGTATCTCTGTACAGTTAACCCCATTAAAATCATCTTATTATTCCACTGAATCATATATACATTGTATGTTGTTCCAGCTCATTCATTGAAGCTAAATAATGATAAAAACAAACCTAAGACTTAAGGTTTTAGAATTGCACCATCCCCATCTTTCTGACATATCTTTGAACACTTGGAGTTTAAAATAAACTCCACTTCAACTATTACATTTAACAAAGTTTGGCTACACAGTGTGAGTGTGTACTGAGTTTATACACAAGTGGCTAATAAACATATTTTGGCAACTAAGCTAACTAGTTAACTTCTTCGTTTATAATTCACAGAACTCTTGTGGTTATCGTTGCTTTAAAATATAAATGAAAAGCCAGAGACAAACTCCTTACACAACATTACTTGTGTGTACTTACATGTTAGATTAAATAGATGTATTAATTTAAGATAACCCCAAAAAGCAAAAAACATTTTATTTGGCTAGTTAGCTACTTAATGACGTAACAACAAATGTAGCTTAGCTAACGTCAGCTAGCTACAAAGCTAACGCTAAAGTTACCGTTCGTACTTTTTAACTTCGAGAAAAAAAGATGGTTTGAAGTTCTTCCTTCGGCGTATCGACTAATATTTGTCTAATTTACTTCCAAATACTTTTTGTGTAACGTTACATGTGGTGGCCACTTTCATAAACTCATCACCCATCCAGACTCTTCCAAGTCAGCCGGTGACCCTGACCGGCCCCCGTTCTCCTCGCCCCGCCCCGGCACTAACCTTTGTGGAACAGCGGCCACGACTTGGGGGGGAGGTCCCGCTACTTTCTCCTCCATCTCCGTCTGTCTGCCTGCTGCTTCCTCTCTCTTCACAGTTTGAGACACACACACACACACACACACACACAAATAAAAACCCACGAAACATGGGTGTCGTGGGTGTCGCTTCAACTTTTCTCTTGGCCGCCTTGGTCGCTCTGTGCTCCGCGGCGCGCTCGGACGCGCCCCGGGGAGTCGCGGTCGGGTTCGTTTTCGACCCGAAAGCGAAGTGCGAACCGCAGTGCAACCACGGAGGGATCTGCATCCGCAACAACACATGCTACTGCTCCAAGGGCTACGAAGGAGAGACCTGCCAGTATGGTGATGTTACAAACATTTTATCTGTTATTTAATTGCATTTAAGGTGGAACATGTTCCCCCATTATAATAGTATAAATATATGTAGTTTTAAGCTGTCAGTAGGATATACAGTCTGTATTAGTTTTCCTCTTGTAGAGGAACCAATGCTTATTTAGATATGTATGGTTAATACAATGAATGAGTCATAATTAAGTGGTATGCAATTAAATGCACTAAAGCTACATAGATAAAACAATATGCAGGTTTTAATGTCAGTTAAATTCAGGTATTTTTTACAAAGATGTGTGTCAGCATAAACCAAACATAAAGCTACACTGATGGGAAAAAGCATCTAGATCTAAAGACATCAAATCGTAATTTTCAAAACACTACAAGAGACCATATTCATCATTCCTTAGTTATTTCCCTTCTTACCTTTACAGTATCTAAGATAACACTTATCTGTATCAAGAGTAATGTCAAAATGTTGTGTGTTCTTGTGTGAATGTAAAATGCAGCCAACTGTTATCCCAAATGTAAGAATGGAGGAATGTGCCTTCGTCCTGGAAAATGCAGATGTCCTCCAGGATTTGGGGGAAGATACTGTCACAAAGGTAAGCAGGCTTTCTTTGCACAGATTTTTGTAAACAAAACATTTGGTTGGTCCAATATGTGGAATCTGAAAGCCATCTTCTTGTAATTTCATTCCTCCATGTGGTACAGTTGAAATATATCGGCACATTTTGACACACAGCTGTCCCTCTTTTATCAGACACACACCAGATTCCTTCTCCAGTCGAAAACTAGAGCAGCTAGATATTTTTTTTCCAGTAACATAACTGCAGTAGTTCAATAAGTATTTCAAAGCTGGTTATATTATTTAAGACTGAATATTTTTAAATTTCCTTATATTTTTGGGGGTAAAATCTAAATAAAATGAGAGGATTTTGTGTTTATTCACCAGATGTTCCAGTCACAAATCTTTGAAACAGCATTTAGAGCCAGTATTTTTCAAACCTTTAGGTTGCGAGTTAAATCTGAGAACTCGCAAGACAATTACCAGAACAGGGAGAGAGGAAAGACACACACAACATGTACACTTCCAGACTTTCTTTAATTCTTTTAGATTTCTAGAGAGTTTAAATAATCAAGCTTCTGGAAATAAAATGAAAACCAAGAAACCACTGGTAGATATATGCAACTAGTGATTAAGGGTCCCAAATACTAATTTCAAAGGGGTCACAAGGGAAAAAAAAGGTTGGAAAGCACTGATTTAGACAATTCAATTGTGACTTTTTTCCCCCTTGATTATTTGAATCAAGCCCAAGTTATATATGTCTAAAATCAGTGCAGCCAGCCACAAACACTTGAGGACAGGACGGGTAAAGCATTCTCATCCCTGCTGATGGGTGTGATCCGTGTCTGTCTTTTGGCAGTGACGTGTGACGGGGGATGCTGGAACGGAGGAGAATGCATCGCTGTCAACGGAGCGGCCAAGTGCATCTGCCCCTCGAGCTGGAGCGGCTCAAGATGCCAGGAGGGTCGGTTTATGGCCGTTTCTAATCAACCTGTTAACACCAAAGGTCAAAGTCGCCACATGGAGCCTGTCTCTCAGCTGGAGCTAAAACATTTTAAAATGCTTTTTTTCGGTGCCAAGTTGCTGTCAGGATGGGAAGCGTTCAGTCTAACCCTCACTCCCCGACGCAGCAATTCTGGCATGTAAATTGACGGCTCGTGAATGACGATTCTTGGCAGTAAATTGAAGCTCAAGTTGGACTCGGCAGATATTTCTCAGAATCTTATCTGTTGAGATAAACTGATAAAGGTTTTTCCTTATAGATAACATTGAGTTGACTTGACTTTTTAGTGACACGTGAAGGACAACAATTCTCTACTATTGTGCACTCAACGACAAATTAGGGCTCTATAGAACTCAATCAATGTATTTTTTTAGATTAGCAATTTAGCCTAGCCTACATTCAAAGTGCCCATACTAGTGTTGTTAAGCTGTTTGTTGACAAAAAAACATTGTGATGAATGAATGTAGAAATTTGTCATAATTTTTTTTAAATGTAGGTTATGCTTTAACTGCAGTCTCTTCTGCTAACAAATTCACCTTTAAGCTAACCTGCTTCCTGAAATGCGTTTATTCGCTTACTTGCGGAGAGTTAGATGAGAAGATCAATACCACTCTCGTGTCTGTACGCTAAATATGGAGCTACAGCTAGCAGCCTGTTAGCTTAGCATAGAAAAATAAAACAGCTAGCCTGGCCAAGAAATAGTCCAGCGCATAACGACATGTCAAACCACAACTTCTTGTTTTTAATATTTAAACAAACAGGATATAATGTTAAATTAGTGAGTTTTAGAGGTGTTTGGTTGGTGGGTTTTGTAACCTTTGGGCAGAGCTAGCTGTTTCCCTGTTTCCAGACTTTATGCTAAGCTAAGGTAATTGGCAGTATTATGTCAACTATTCCGTTAACACGTAGTTATTCCTGCATCTAGAGCATTTTTCTGCCTCCAGTAAATATGAGTCACCTATAGCTAAAGCTCAGATTTGCTCTCTAGTATGCTAACAATGTCTTTTCTATGGTTTTGTTGCAGCGATCTGTCCCCAGGGCTGTAGGAACGGGGGACTCTGCGTGGCTCCAGGAATCTGCAGCTGTCCGGAGGGATGGCTGGGTGGCGCCTGCCACACCGGTGAGTTTTAAACTGGTCCCGAAGATCAAGCACTTCCATATGCATCAGTGCACTTTACAAGCACGATTCCTTTTGCATTTCTCTGCTGCTTGTCTAATGTTTTGTCCTGTTCGCTTTTGGTTGTGCTTTTCCCGGGTTCCCTGTAAACCGTCTACATCTTACCGAGAAGACAAACGTTGCAGATATCCGTCTGCCAAGCAGCTGAGAATGATATGTATCGGATGTATGTGTCTGCTAAGGGAAAGCTCTCAGCTCAGTGTTTTTCCAGATGTGACAGATGTGGAAGCACTTTTCACTTCCGTTTCTGGATTTATGGTGTTCGGATTCACAAGCTCTTCAGTGACGTTTACTTGTTTCTCAGGTTTAACAATTGATTAACGTCGTTTTCATTTTGTTGGTCTGTTTTTATATCGTCTATAGCTGTGTGCGCTCAGTCCTGCCTGAATGGAGGGAAGTGTATTTCTCCAGACAAATGCCGCTGTCGCCCCCCTTTCTCTGGCCCTCGCTGCGAGGAGAGGAAGAAGTCCCACTAGTGTGAGCCTGCTGGGGTCACAGGTCAACGAGGCCCAATAAGTGACTTCATGCTGATGAGGACATTTCTTTCTTCTATTTTTTAAAGCTGAAACATTTGTAGTTTTTACATTTTTTTATGGATTTTTTTGTTTTTAAGAAACCTTGAACCTGTGTAATGTTCTCATTCGACTGTGTAAACATGTACTGTACTGTCATTTGTGTCATTAAATGAATAAAAGAGTGAATTGCATTAATAAGCTTAACAAAGCTTATTTAACCAAAGCAAAAGCATAGAAATAGTACATTTTCTTTATTCTGTCAACTGTAACTTGTACCACAGTGCAATTTGGTGTTGTCAGATATTTTTATATATAAAACAAAACCCTGTATAAAACTCAAACAGGTGGTCATTACTTTACCCAATCAAAAAATATATTAATGAAAGAAAAACAGAAAGACATATGGCAATGTATTTAATCTATTCAAACAAGTTACTGATGTGTACCATCTAGATTAGGCATAACTAATATAGCATCCTTGCATTATTTCTCTCATAAATGAACAACAAACAGTGCGCATCGATTTGGTAAAAAGATTATAATTTGGCTTAATTGTGTAAAAACTAAAAGCTTGCTGGTAATAAATAACCTGCTGCTCATGAATAAATCGTCACTGAAACAGATTGATTTGTCATTTTACTTATTTTACATAATGCTGTGCAGTAACACTCACACATCTGTAGAAAGTCTCTGCTGATGCATTTACCAGATGTGTGTTACTGTGAGCCTTGAGGTAGTGATATACGGGGACGAACAGACAAGTGCAATACATCACGTCCCCCTGTTAGCCTTCAAATGTGCACAGAGACACATATCCATCAACACACACACACACACACACACACACAACTCATGATGCTCTCTTCTTGCTTCGTACATTTTGCAGCTTCTTTCAACCCATTTCTCATTTCTTCCCCATCATGCTTGCGACGCCTGTAAAGGTGCAAACATAAATTAATTTGAAGTAAATTTCACATATTTTTCTGTATATCCAAGGTGGCCTTTTAATTATTGGAGAGCCTAAGCTGAAGTGAGTGCATCTCATGTATTACCGTCACATTCAAGTCACAGAGCTGAGCATCTTTTTCTCCGAAAGATAAATACTTGGCGGTTCAAAAAACCCAGGAGGTCGTTTAACATCACACTCCGCTGTTCTGAAGGTATTTCCAGAATCCTCAAAGACTCGACTAATCATCTGGATGACCTTTTAGGCTTTTGTTTTTCCAACATCACTGGGCATTTATCTTTCAGAGAAAGATGTAGATGTGGAAGAGTCGTATTTAACATTCTGAACAATAATATAGCAGCAAAAAACTATTTGTCATGTAAAGATAAAGTGGAGGAATGTCGACCTGAGCAGAGAATGAAGTTGCTGTTCTGTGTCTTGTTATCTGAGCTTCCCCTTGCTATGTTGACATAGAAACACCATACGCGCATTGTTTAAGTGCATGTTAGCGCATGTGAGCGCGCATGTGCTTGCCATAACGCCGTCCTGACAGACAGCGTTGTCGCAGAAGCGTAGCGCCCACCCTCCGGTTCCCCCTCAGGTAAACACCGTTGCCGCTGTTAGCCCCGTTAGCCGTCGACATGTTGAGAGCCGTTAAGAGGCAATCGAAATGCTCCCAATCTCGGATCTTGCACCTTTAACTCTTTGACTCAAACATGGCGCTGGGAAAGCCCGAAGGGATCACAACCCGTAACACTAGAAATATAAGTGCTTTTCCTGTTCAGCTACACAGAGACGTGTACCGGATAGGAAGTGTGACTACTATGCTGACCTTAATTGCGCAGGTGAGGCCATTGTAGCCTCTCCGACAGTGGCAGTAGTCAGGAAGGACACACCTCCCTCCGTTCAGGCACCGCTGTTTACAGACCGCTGATGAGGGAATCAATATTACAGTCAGAAATACATCAAATAGTGAGTGATAAAATATATTAATCTGTTTATTCTGACTACAAACTGATGACAAAGCTCAGGTAGGACAGAAGGTAAGTTAACTACTGTGTGTCTCTACATTACTGCATTGTTTTATCATGAATGGACTCACGTGTTTGACACTGGAGACCCTCCCAGCCGGAGGGACAGTGACAGGTGTTTGGTCCCAAACACTCGCCGCCATTTTTACACTTTTGCAGACAAACGGCTGCAATGGGAAAACGGAGAGGGAGGTATGAACACAGTCTACAGCAGCTTGGCGAATGATTTTCCCTGACATTACCTGGGTGCAGTGACAAAGATGTGGATGAACTTTTTGTGACAAAAATGATTCTTACATCTATACAAACAAACATGAGATGCTTTTCCCAGTCGCATCCTATTTTGGGAATGTAAAGTGTGTTAACCCGACCCTTCCAAACCCTAACATAACCCTAACAAATGGAAACAAATGCCGATTGAATACATGCCACCAGTGCATGATCTCTACATGACCTGCCATGTATTTGTCGAATGTGAATAAAACGTGGGAGTCACTCACGTATGTTGCACCTCTTCCCTCTCCATCCTGACGCACAGGAGCATATGTTGGGTCCCACACACTTGCCTCTGTTCATGCACATCGGCTCACACACACCTGGAACACATTTGATAACACGTTAAGATTAACATATTGAGTTGTAAGCTGCCGGCGGAAGGTATCACTTGAAACAAGTCAGTGATGGTACTCACTCTTTTGACACCGTTTTCCTGTGTAGCCTTCAGGGCAGGAGCACACATTGTTCCTCATGCACTGACCTCCGTTCTTACAAGGAGGGCTGCATACAGCTGAAAAACACAACGATATAAAACTATACAAATACCAGGAGGCTCATAGAAATGTATATCAGAGACTTGAACTCTGACATAACATCCAACCTCTTGTGCATACTTATGTCATAAAAAGTACAAACATTTCTGCAAAAACGTGAAAAGCATCTTCATCTTTTAAACTGGTGCGTTCGATAAGACAGAAAGCCCGTCAGCGAGGTCTGTGTAGCTGACCCTGGACTGGAGTGAAGTATATCTGTCAGCAGGGATCATTGAATAATCACCATAGTTTTAGTGAAAATAAACCCTCTGCACTGCATCTTTTTAAAAGCCAAGTATGCTGGCATGTTTGTATCCAAAGTACAGATATTTCTGGCAATTGTCATTCTTTAAATCTAACATTTCTACACCAAAAAGCACAACTATTTCGTGCCACTGAAACAGCTTTTGGGAAACTCTCCATAAAACTCTTAATTGAAACCCAGACTAAAGAAATTCTTCTGGGTTTTGCAGTTTTGTGACCCACATTGAATAAATGTTAAAGGGAACACGATGCTCTTAAATGGATAAGTAATTCACCAGAGGAGGAAAAACAGGACCTCCATGATATCGGAGTTTAAACTAGAATCTCCTCGCGGTTGCACGCCTCTGTCGAGTTTACACCCATGTCCCAAATGTCATCGCTTCATCATTTTATCCTACGAGACATTTTTGTGAAAATGTAAACATCAGCGTATGAATTATTGAGTTATGGCCGAACACATCGTGACCTTTTGACCACAAAATTATAAATCGGCTCCTCCTTGATGAATTCCCTCCTGGCGATCCTGAGATATGGCATTCACGAGAATGGGACGTACGAACCGACGGACAGACAACTCGTAAACAAAATGCCTCCAGACACAGCTGTCGCCACCGCGCAGGCATAATAAAAAGCCAGTGTGAGCAACCCAACACATCTCTTCAATTCTGATTGCTACTGCATTGCAGAGTCTCCTCAAAGGGCTGCTCCTAGTAGCTGAAATGGAATCAGGATTCAAATTTCCTGCACACTCGCTCTCTGAGGTCGAACAGCAGTTCAGTAAAATGTGTCAGCGTGATAGATATTCATCACAGTTTTTACCGATTTGACACTGAGAGCCGTAGAAGCCGCTGGGACAGGCACAGATGTTGGGCTTCGTGCACGTTCCTCCATTCAGACAGACGGGGTTACAGAGAGCTGTAGAGGACAAAGGAGCCACGTTGAGATCCCCCACATTTAAAGCCTGTATGTTGTAGGATTTACTGTACTGTCAATGTGGTCCATGAAATATTAGATGTGAAGATCGTTTTTGGTAGAAACATCACGTAACTGCGGCGTGAATTCACACTTGGTGTCAGGTGTCAGGTGATGTACCTGAGTTACATGTTGGTCCGTACCAGCCGGGTTTGCATTTGCAGACATCAGGAGAAACGCATTCGCCTCCGTTTTCACAGTGCCTGTTACACACCACTGAAAACGGATAAATAATTATCATGCACACTTCTAGATGTGCCATATAAAGAAAGTGACGTCAAAGCTGATTTACAGGTGAGACATGCAGCGCAGAACCAGTAAAGACATGAACACTCGACTCTTACAGCGCAGTCTAAAGGACCTGGGAAAGTGACACATTTCATTATTTTGGCTTCTTTTAATTAATCATAGAACAGTGACTGAGGTTTAGGTGCTGCCTTGAAGCTACAGTTGGTAACATTAATAAAAATAGCTTTTTTGTTCAAACTGTCACTTCATCCTGACGGTAGTACATGAGACAGATAATCAGTGAAAAGATCTGTGCAACTAATGGGATTTGCAAGATTCCACAGCAGCCAAAGGAACGTCTGAAGCTTGCAAATATACACAGTATAGTATAGCTCCAGATAGCACATAGCCACAACTTGTTGTTTTCCCACTTTTGGGGGTTTTGTACATATTAAACAAACAAGATTTAACGTGATAATTAGTGAGCTTTAGAGGTCTTTGCCAGGCTAGCTGTTTCCCCCAGATTCTCATCTAACTCTCGGCAAGAAACTAATTTCCCGTATGTTCAACTATTCCTTTAAAGTCAGCACTTTCACCTCAGAGTCATTGTGTTATTTCAAAGTGTGTCACTGTTCTACTTACAGACAGCACTGTACATCTCACAGACTGCCACTTTAACACAAATCGTAAACACATCAGAAGCTGCTTCCCCCGGTCAAAGTACTTAAACGACATCTCACTGATTTCACATCTGGGTCCCACGTAGCCGTAGGGGCAGGTGCACAGGTTTCTGGCCAGACAGGTGCCTCCGTGTTGACAGGGCGGCTCGCAGCTCGCTGAACGCACACACGGTTGAGACAACAACACAGGGATCCTCGTCAGTATTCTGTGTGTGTCGGCATGTTAGACAGGTGTGAATATGAGCTCGGGTTTACCTTCCTCACAGGTGGGCCCGCTGTAGCCCGCGGAGCATTCGCACACATCAGGTTTCACACACTTCCCCTGGTTCCTGCAGTCGGGTCGACACACGGCTGAGAGGGGAGAAAAGTGGCCACGAGATGAATGAGGCAAATCCCTCGGAGGCGATTTAACGGTAATGCGGAGCACTCCGAGGTTAACCGTCTTAATAACAGCGAGTCGCAGAGGTGCATTCGAGAATGATTCAATTTAACAAACTTGTATTCCAGCACCAAAATAAACAAGGCGGGCTCCATCAACATGTTTTCCCTCTCACCGATATGACAGCTGTAGCCGGTGTAGCCTTCCTTGCAGGTGCAGGTGTTGGGCAGAGTGCACTCCATGTTCCTCCCACACTGGTACCTGCACACAGCTGGAATCAAATCATCGAGTTTACTTGAAGAAATCCACTCATGATGGGCGGAAATCTACTCTCACTGAAACAATGAATTACCTCCTAATGTAACGTATCCTGCAATGAAAACACCAAACATCTGGTAGCTCGAATACCTTTGGATATTTTTAACTGGCGGTCAAACAAAAGTAAGCAGATAGAAGGAATCATTTGGGGGCTGGTGAAACTTGATGAATGATGTCATTATACTTTTAACATTTTAAAGCTGCATGATGTAACTTATGCTGAACAGTGGCCACTGTAGTTAGTCTACGGTAGGTGACTAACTACGGATGAGTACCTCAAACAAGCCCACTTCCAAACATCTGAAGTGTCCCTTTAAAAGAGACACAAGATGCTTTTCTACTTATTTTTAAATGTGCATTATTTCAGTTAACTTATGCTCTCTTTTATTTTTCTTTGAAGATTCTCACATGCTATATTATAGATATCATTTGACACATTTTCCCATAAATATCTGATGTGTTTTTCCCATAAATACCAAGAGTTAGTGATGTAAAGTGTTGCGAACAGCTGTGATTAAAACAGCCTCACATACAAATAATATAATGTAGACAAAGAGGATGGGATTTGCATATAATTTACATAAATGTGCCAGAATCAGAGGCACAAAGACGTCTTTTACTTTGTCTCACACTAAAGTGCATCTTCTATTTGACACGATGAAGGAATGATATAATCAAACCTGTTGTTTTTACGACTACGTTGACACTACGTACCTTTACACGTGACTCCGTCTCCGGTGTAGCCGTACGGGCAGCGTCCACACCTGAAGGACCCGGTGATGGTGGGCTCACAGGGAACACCGGGGAAGCAGGGTGAGTCGGCGCAGGTCACATGGTGACCCCGTTTGACCCCGGTGGTGAGGTCGGGGTGCAGCTCCGCCTCAGCTGGGATGTCTGTGGACGAAACTCTCCTGATACTGGGGATGGTGGCCTCTGGTCTCGTCCTCCTGTCAGGGGGTCGTCTGGGAGGTGATGAAGAGGAGGTGGGAGTCATTTCTTTGCTGGAATTTGATTTGGTGATGTAAATATGAGCATCTGCTCCGCTGGAGACTGTCCCCTGACCTGTAAAACACTGGAAGTTAGAGGACATGACTTAAAAAACACAAATATACATCAACATTAAAACACCTTTGATAACCAACTAATATTACATAGTTGAAACTTGCTTGAGGATTTTCAAACTAAACTATTTTTTGTATTTATATATATATATATATATATATATATCCTGCTGTTAACCATCAAAAAGTACACAACATGGCCCCCGCTGTCCGTTCACCCGCATCAGTTATAAATTGAGCGAATTGCTTCGCTTCACTCTCACCTGTCGTCGTGCACGTGCGTCCGTTTCCATGAAGACCCGTAGGACAGTGTCCGCAGACGAAGCCCGCTGAGACGTGGGTGCTCTCGAAACAATGGACTCCCGGGTGACACGGCCGCCTGGAGCACGCCGACGAGCCCGAGGGTTTGGGCCTCGAGGAACCCTGCGGCACTCGAGCTGGTGTGGTCATCGCTTTGACTGGAGGGGCACAAAATGAACGAAAAACAATTTATTGAATAACAAAAATATAGAACATCTCCGACCTGGTCTATCCTAACTATCCATTACTAACATGAGGACTTACGTGTGCAGATCTTCCCGTCACCTCTGTATCCTTGTGGGCAGACTCCACAGACGAAGGAGCCGAATGTGTTGTTACAGCCAGCTCCGGGGAAACAAGGCTGAGAGACGCACTCGTCTTTGTCTTCTCGACATGTACGGCCTGAAAGCACACGTAACACCGGGCACGACTTAAAAAACAACTGTAAACAATGAAAAGGGAAGAAATCGGGTGAGATACCTTGATTGCATACTGCAAGTGAAGCACATTAGAGGGGCAATACATTTTTTTTTTAACAACAGTGCACAACTTAAAAAACAAGATCCAAGTTGTGAGATAAAACCCTCTAAATGGCAGCTTGAACTTCTGCAGGAGAATCAGTGTTTCTGTAATTCCTCTGGGCATCGATAAGGTCAACAAGGTCACACATCACTTAATATCCCCTTCAAAGTGCAGCCCTGCAGACACAAATCTACTCAATCAGAATAGCTTCTAAGCCTTTTACTGTTGGGTGGTTTGAAGGAAACAGCTGTGCAGGTTGATCCCTACCTGTCATTCCAGGCGGGCAGATACAAGAGAAGGAGTTGGGTCCGTCAGTGCAGCGGCCCAGCCTGCAGGGGTTAGGCTTACAGTCATCAACGTCCACCTCGCACCTTCCACCTCTAAATCCATCGAGACACACACACAGGTACTCTCCGCTGCCGGGGGGGAGGTCGACGTTGGTCACACAGGAGGCGCCGTTCAGACATCCACAGGAGCGCACAGACACCTGGAGGAGAGGTTTGTAATCTGAAAACAATGAGGTGGCAGACAGGTCGTGTATTTCATGCACCTGGCTTTAGGTGTTCTTTAGACTTTCTGTATTCCACAATGAGGAGGATTATGAAAATAGTTGCAAGAAAAGAGAAAAATGCAAAGAAACAGGAAGGGAGTGAGTGGACAGCGACACTTGTTATTAATAGAAATCAAACTTCGGATAAATACATAGAAATACATTTTGTATATAAGAAATCAAAGCAATGTACCACTTTATCCTAACAGGAAATAATACAAGATGTCAATCAAACTGTGACTTAAGAATTGCCAATTTAATTCGGCAGAAAAACAAAGAGAGAGAGAGAGAGAGAGAGAGAGAGAGAGAGAGAGAGAGACAGACATTCTTTGAGATTAGATTTGTTTTCTGAGATGTCCCGGGAGCTGTTTTTTCACCATCTGAAT